CTTGCACCTGGAACAAATTCAGGTTGCGCCTATAGGGTGCTCCACTGGCCAAGTGTCAAGTTTGATCCTGCATAAACAAGATTACAATGGCCTCTGACTGACCGTAAGGCTGTTCAGACTCTGGCCTTATTATGGCTGCTTTATTTCATATTTTGATCAGTGCAAATAAACAAGCTATTTTCTTTAGCAAAGCATTCTCCAGTATGCCACCTCCTGTACTCTCAAGAGTCAGACAATGTATCATTTTACGGCATTACACTATTAGCAGTATCCCTACAGTTAGCCTAACTCACTTTTGATTTTCTACTTTGGATCTAAAATTATATAAATGGTGGCTTTTTCTTTTAAAAAGTTGTTTGGTCCCTTTGTAATCACAGGGCATTCTAATCTTGTCATGTTGTAAGACTTAGGATACCTCCACACTGCAATTTAAGTAATTAAAAGCTGTTTCTTGATTTTTATCTGTTATGTTTTTATCCCTTTTGCTAATGTGATAGCTTTCTTTACATTCGCATGAACAAAAATCCCAGTCAAAATTTTTATTGTATTCATGGAATAATCGGTTCTTTTCTTTGTGTCTTGACTCGCTATTCATGTTGAGGATGCTGTATTGCACCTGGAGGAGTCAGATGCAATGCATGAAAAAGAAAATATTTGAGCTCATGTCCAAAATAGTTCAATAAATATTTGGTCATATCAATTGACTCTGTCACTTATTTTTTTAATGTTCAAGGGTAAGACAAAACTGTTTCTATTAGGGTTCCAGTTCATAGGTCCATCGGTTTATTATAAACAGAACATATTTAAACATCTTCCTGAGATCAGAGCAGTGGGCGGCAGTGGATCCTCACAAGTCTTAGTCTTGTGAGGATGCCTTCTAAAGCAGAGCGAGACAAAACACCTGCTCCAAAGATGATCTTCTGGGCCAGATGAATTCAGAACCACAAGTCAGTCCAGTAGGATATGGTGAAAGTTTCTTAGGACTCTAAAGAGGCAATCTTGGTAAATTTTTCAAAGAAGACGGAAATTACAAGGGCTGATTATGAAATGTTTTATGATAAGAGAAAAACTGCATAAGTGAGAAGGCGGCCAGGAAATTTGCACTAAGGACAAAATAATGCTTGTTTCCCCAATCTTGCCAACGTGCCCCCTCATTTTTCCAGGGTAGGAAGTGATATCCTGTAAGAATTCCTTTCATTGGCAAGCCTTGTCCCATCTACCCTACAGTACTGTTCCTGTCCTTTCAGAGTTCTTTGAGTTCACCAAACTCAAAGAACCTTAACAGCAAGATCATCTGTGGCCCTCCAGTATGCCAAAACTTCCAAGTTGAGGAGCTGAAAATGGCAGAGCACTGAATTCTTCCATGAAGAGCTAGACAGATGGAAATCACATCTGCAGAAGTGTATAGACCTAGGTATATACTGTGCTAAAAAACAATAGCTTCAAGTTTTGACATTTGTTTAACAAAGGTTTCTATGCTTTTGTAGCAATACTTTGGACTAGCCCTTGCAAATAATTACTGGTTTAAGTTATTGTTCTAGAACGTTTACCTAAAAATACCCTGGACATTTGTTTGTATTCTCAGCACCTTTCATATACAGGATGCATAGTGATATTCAGTGTAAATAAATGAATGAAAGAGAAAAGCAAAAGAGAAAATGCATAAAAAGCATCAATCTTCTTTCATAATCACACATTAGGCATTTTCTTTCAAAGCTTCATTCTGTTGCTAGTATTTTCTGTATTTTCTAAAACAGGACTGTATTTTCTAAATCAGGACTTGCAGTATAGCTCCATTCACTTCCTTTTGGGACCTCATCAGACTTCCCATTGACCTTCATAATCCTACCACCAGTCTCTTCAAGGCAATCTAAGCTTTCACCACTCCCCAAACCAAACTCTCTGCCCTGGGATCAATGCCAACTCCTAGCCACCCTACAGGACTGGAGAGACCTCCCTCTGCGGTTTCTGAGACCTTGACTCTTTACAGGAGCAGAACGCCCTTCTTCCTTCTGCAGAGCAGCTATCTGGTGCTTTCCAACTGCTGACCTTGCTGCTGACCCAGAAGCCCAACACACCTTAAAACTCTTCTGTCCTTTAGCCATTACTCAATTTCAAAAGTGCTTTCATATTTTGCTTTTCTGTTAGAGCAGTTCCCACCCTAGCATACCAAATATCATCTTAGTTATACATTGTTGTTATGATCGAAGTACCTCAAAGGAGTGGCTGAAACAAACAAATGTTCTCACATTTTAAGAGCCTTCCAGAGGTGAGCTCTGGGGGCAGGTTAGGGGAAGGTGTTTGTCTCTAGGGAGGCTTTCTCCATCTGTCTCCCTAATCTCTTCAGGTATTAATCTCTTACATGGACTAAAAGAGATGGAGTTGAGGCATGCCTTACAATTCCACGTTAACAAAGCGAAGAAAGCCACTTTCCAAGTGGCATGATGAATACAGGTATTTGATTGTTAGGTGCTGAGTTCTGACTCAGCCACACTCTGTACAACACAATTAGACACTGCCTGCTCCGGTGCCATCCTCAGTTTTTCTTTGTTTGTTTGTTTTGCTGCCAATGGGGTCGCTCCTCTATAAACCGTATTATTGAGGGTTTTTCTCTTTTTCACTGACCCTCCACTTTGCCAAATATGATGTCCTTTTCCAGGGACTGGAGCCTCTTGGAATTGTGTGAAAGTTACATGAGCCAACGTCTCTCCAACTTCATTTCTAAGGAGCACTCCAGCTGCAATAATTTCAAGACAGATTTGTTCTTCTGAAATTCCATGGTGTATTCAGTATTCTTCACCGACACTAATTCTAGACTTTCTTATTCATTATCCAGTTTCACATGCATATAAGATGATTGAAAATCCCATAGGGGTCAAGATTTAAAACATATATTTTTGATTCATTTAATTCAATTAATAATGCAAAGGAAATGTAATAACTTGAATTTAATTTTGAATCATTTGTCATGGTAAAGCTTTTTAATTTCCAATTTTTTCTCTCTTCATTTACCTAACACTTTTGTATTATGGATATACTGTGATTTGTATTGCATTTGGTGAATATGTGAGCTATTCCAAAATGATCATGAAATTGTGCCACCATTGATTAGATACTTAATGTTCATATTTTAGTTAGAAATGTTTTAACCAAGAATATTTTCAGTGTGCAATTAAAAACTAATAGGCGAGCTTGGTAATTTGTAGAGAAATGTACGCTTATAGACTCACAATTTTAAAGTAAACAGATAAATTAAACTAATAAAGTTAAAAAACAATTAGTTGTATTTTACATGTAGCAATTTTATCTTTCTTAGAAGGCCCTAATTGTTGAAATTATGTGATTGTACACATACACACAGCCAATTAAGAAACTATATATTTAAACTCTACTAATCCTATAATCTGTGTGTCATTTCTTGATATTTTCCACCTCGTTTACATACTGATGGTCTCCTTTCAAACAAAATTAATGGAACTTGGTATTTTTGAATAAGAAATGAGACTCACATAAATTGCTGTTATCTCTATCTCTGGTTAGAATATTCTCAGGATTGTGAGGAGAGTGAAACACCAGATTCTCCAACTTTAACATACAGCAGTCCTATAGGATGAGACTAACCTGCACATGCTCGCTGACTGAGTGGGTATGGGGCCTATAGATTCTGAGTTTCATTTCTAACAAGCTCCCACACCAAGCTTTGAGAAGCAAAGAGGCAGGGTAGGTTTGACACTAGTTGACTGATATAGAGAGATTACATTTGTAATCTGATGGTACCTGGAAAAATTGGCCTCCTAAATTGACTTTAAAGTCTTTTGTTATGGGTTTGTTGTCAGGATTACAGCAGCATATCTCATACAGTAAGTAGTCTCTAAGTCAACTTATTGCCATGAAATCAGTCTCAACTAATGGAAACCCAACGCAGGTCAAAAGAGAACTGAATGTAAGGTGCAGTTTAAAATGTTGTAACTCCCTTGGTTATTTTCCATTCGTTTTAATAAAGTAACAAATTGCCTGATAAAATCTTCAAGGTTCTGTAAATATTGATCCTGCTTTTATAAGAAATAATAAGTGCTGGTGATGCAATGATTAAGTGTTTGGTCTAACTAAAAGGTCAAAGGTTAAATCCACCTTCAGCTGCATAAGATAAAAGACCTGGTAACTTTCTCTTGTGAAGATTGCCTGAAGACTGCCTATCTAGTGGATGCAGAGTCAGAGAACCCTATACCCCCAATAGAACACTTTCATAGACACCCCGCTGCTCTGATCTTTTCAGCAGGAGGCCGTCACAGCTGTTTCCCAGGAGCTGCTGGTGTTGTGCTCCTGCCAATTGTTCCATTAGCAGCAGAGCGCTAACCATTGCATCCCCAGGGCTCCCCCTGTGAAGATGGCAACCCCGAAAGCCCTAGAAGGCAGTTCTACCACTTCCTACAGGGTCACTGACTCGGCACACAGTCACAACAAACAACATGAGATAGTTCCTCACCATTTTTTGGTTGTCTTTCAAAGAGAGAGAACATGAGAGCTATTGAACATAAAATTTGTTCTTATTTTATTATTATTTTTTTTATGGAAGGACTGATTCCCAATTTCACACTAAACGTTTTTAATAAATATTGTAAAGTATGCTTGGAAAAAAAAGACAGAAATATCATGGGGTTTCATATACAATAGGGAATCTTTTAAGCACTATTTAAGGCATGTATGCATTAGAATTGGGATATTTTATACTAAAAATAGAAATTATTATTTAAAAGGCTTTGATTTGGTGGATTATAAAAATAAATTAAAGGCAAATAATTAGTGCATAATTCTGTTTTTAAAATATTTAAACCCATCTTGGTAAAATGGTAAGAGAAAGAATCAAAGCTTCTGTTCATTTTTACAAGATGAGAGCCATGGGGTGGTGGGGGTGGGGAGAGCCTTTTCTTTCAGATAATAAAAATATTATCTATACCATATGATTTATAAGTCTTGTGTCTTACTTTATTATTATTCAGCCGTCGGTCTTGCTGCGTGTCAAGAACCAGCTCTTCCTAGCAACGGCATCAAAACAGGAGATCGATACATGGTGAACGACGTGCTGTCCTTTCAGTGCGAGCCCGGGTACACGTTGCAGGTAGCTTTCTTCTGAGTTCTTCCCAGTACAGAGGGGGCAACATCGTCCTCCTCGGCCAGCTTACTGAAAGCTTCAGGCCTAGATTTATATCTCTGATGTAATTTCATTTTACAGTAGTGATATTTTCCAGGCAGGATGGTAATCCTAATTTTCGTGAGGAAATAATTTCTAAATGATGAAGCTCTATCCAAAAGTTGAGTATTTTATTTTCATATCTTCATAATTATTTTAATTCATGTGTAAGGTTTCCCAGAACAATCACATGCAGGGGAGTCTCTGCCACCTTTTGGTGAATCCTAACCGGACAAGGCAAGGATTGCATCTGCTTCCGTGTCACGTGCTTGGTTTGCTTTGCAAACTCTTCTCGGGATTCAATTTGATAGATTCTCTTTAAGCTCCTGTACTAGGTACCTGCAACGTACTCATGAAATGGGTTCAAAAAATGTGTGATAACAATTAAGCATACATTGTCAACATTGCAAGATAGATTATGAATTCTAGCAAGAAGATTATTAGTTATAAATGAATATATAGCTAGAGTAGCCTCTGTAATTTATTATGTGGCTTAACAATGACTCCCAGAATAGCTTTTGGCTGTCACCTATATAATTCTCCCTGCCAAAAGTAAAAATTGACATTCTAAACCTGTATATTCCAAAGTTCAGTGGAGATATTTAAGTCTATCCATAGTTTTATTCTTCAGTTACCTTAGGTAAAAGAATACGTTTTGTAATAAATATTTTTAACATTGAAGCTGGTAATTTTTCCAAGAGTTTCCTTTCAATCACATTCTGCAGACTTTAAAAACAAACAGCGTTAAGTAAAGATAGGAAAAAAACTGAAACACCTAGCAGTGAAATGATGCCATGAAGTCACTTTCTGTATGTGCGTTGGAGAAATAGCTAGATGAATCAAGTAACAACTGCTGGGAAATGAATGCTTGTAGGGTGCCATAGGAAGAGTTTCATGTTCAAACACAGAAAGCCTCTCAAGTAATACCCCACCAGTCATATGATGTCCGTGCAACGTTCTGCGTATGGTGCTGATGAGGAAGTGACCAGAGCAGGAGAGAAAACACAAGGGCCAGAGACGTGGATGGGAACAGATCAAGCAGAACCACATGTAGGAATCAGCCCACGTTTTAAATGACATTAAAATGTTTTTTCAATGCCTAGGATAGTAGTGGCCCTGGCAGTATTTCATTCTGTTGTACATTGGTTGTTATGAATCAACACCTGCCAACCACAAAATACACAACAATAATTGAAAACTATTATGCTAATTAAGGAGCCCTGGTGATGTCACAGATTGGGCTGCTAACTGCGGGCTCAGCAATTCCAAACCCCCAGTCACTGTGGGAGAACGGTGGGGCTGGGAAACTCACATGGGTTTGGAGACTACCCTGTCTGATGTGGATTTGTTGTTATAAATAAATCATAACACGCAAAGGCACCTTCATAAACACGAGCACAAACATACAGATCTCAGCAAGTCATGCAATACTTGTTTTATAATGCACTACTCTATATAATGATGGACATATCTTTACCATGCAGATCAACTGTTCCTATAGAGACCATTTCCAATGGGAATTTTGGAAGGTTTTAAAAATTTTGTTATCTAAACAGGTTGGTTGACCAAGCATAGTATGGCCACTTTAATTTATTCTTTAAGACAACATTTTCCTACTTCATAGACTAGGGTTTTAAAGGATTGAAATTTTCACTTGAGAGACATTTTATTTTTTTGTAAAAAATGAACAACAAATAAAAAAAAGCCTCCCAATCAAACCCTTCACATGGTTGATTTCTCTGGGTGAAGGTTTGTAAGAGAAAACAATGTGTGACAGTAACTGGGTCTTAGTCTGATTGCCATGTTTACACTTTTTCTTGTGTTTGCATTATAATCGACTTAAGCCAACTAACTAGCATGCTCTCCTCAGTATCTCCCAAATTGCCACTTTAACCCACGCTGGACATGGGGACATGCATTTCCTCTCCTGTTTCTGATGTCACCTTACACTTTCGGTAAACGTACTTGCATGAATTCCATCGTCAGAGCCAGCCGAGAAGAACGGAGGACCCGTTCCTTTGAAAGAGCATTTCTTGTAATGAATTGTTTAATATGTTTCCTAGAGATAAAGGCCGGGAAGAACTCAATCAAGCCATATACTAGTTCTTTTTGGAATGCAAATTATGTTTAAAAATATTCACATTACAGTCAGTGTCAGGCTTAGATTTCAAAAGTGGCTGATTCTCATTCATATGAACAAAAAAATAAGATTTTTGATTTTAAACATTCTTGTAGCAAATTAATATTTCTGTAATGGCAGCATGCATACATTCCATAGCAGTCATGAAACGTGTTATTTCTGACAGTTTATACATTAATGCCTATAGATACAGGAAGTTCATGAGCATAACAAAGGTACCAAGGCATGGGGACTTAGAAATAAACTCTGAATATTGGAATTATTTAAGATTTTTCATTTTCTCTGGATGTGATGTACTGTTCTTTTAAAAGATGACAGCCCCCCCCCCAATATCCCATGTTGGTATAAACTAGTAAATAAATATACCAAGTTTTATCTTGTTTGATCCGTTATGAAAATTTCAGCAAAAATTACTAATAGGAAAATGTTTACTGGAGAATCAATATAGAATATTAAACAGATTAGTAATAAATGTTTTTTTTCCTCTTGGTTGCTAGCCTTTGATGAATATCTTTATGGGCTTTGCTTTTTATGTTTGAATATTTTAGAAAGAAATTTATTTTAGAAAATTTAATGGATCAGAGAATAAGTATACACAAGGGAGCATGAAATTAAGTATAAAATACGTTGTCCAGAATGTCATCTTTGAAAATAAATACTGAGGTTCTTGGCTTAGCTACTTTAGAAAATATCAGGAAGCCAAAGAACATTGGGATGTGAAAGAGGAATCAGGTCTGAGGCATTTCTAAGCTTAGGGAATCAGTTTGCTATTGATAACTGCATTAGTAAATACCTTGTTTTGTTCATTGCCAGTGTGGCTGGGATTATTTAGCATGAGTGAAATATGTGATTTTTCAGTTGACTCTGATGACTGCAGGTGGCAAATGGGAACTCATGAGATAAGGAAGCATGCCAGAAAAGGGCACAGAGCCAACATGAAGGTGGGATTGGAGGGAGTCTGCCACTGAACTACCTTGTCATGACCTTTGATTGTAAAAAAGATCTTGCACAAAACATCTCAAAACTTAACCCTCGGCTTTTTATTTTTAAAAGGGGAATATATGCATTGATTGTGAATGTTAACATTGAGAGCTTCATGTATTTAAAAGACAGAGACCCTGAGTGCTGAGGATTAATTTCATTGCAAGCATTGTTAATTTGACAGCCTCTGTGGCTGTCTGATTATAAAAATAATATTCAGTCTCCTTCTCTGACTCAGTTTTTTGCTGAACATTAATGGTCCGTCACCTTATGCATGAAACATAGATAACCATAACAATCGTCTTTTCACAAGCAGAAACATATTGCTGACCTTTTCCCCATCTCATCAATATCTAGTAGTTTCTAATCATATTCAGCCTCTCTAACCAAAAGCTGTCATATCTGATGGCGAAGTACAAACTTACTTTGTCCAATGCAATCTGTCTTCTTTTAAGCACTGAAAAATGAGCTAGTCAGAAATATGACCTATTTAAAGGGATTTTAAATTTTTAAAAATTGTGAAAATAAATAGCAAATGTGGTATTTTCCCTCTTTTGATTCCTAAGGTTATTCATTAACAATCAGTATTTCTTATTTTATTTTACATTTGTAATAAAATAACAACAATATTCTTCCAAGCACTGGCCTTATATGTTGAGTATTGGAGTTTCATTTCATTTTCTTTGCAACAGGGTCGGTCCCACATTTCTTGCATGCCGGGAACAGTCCGCCGCTGGAACTACCCCTCTCCACTCTGCATCGGTATGAAAACATCTCCTAAAGTATGTGGATTGGTGGACACTGGGGATCAGTGACATAGTGGACACTGGGGATCAGTGACATAGTGGACACTGGGGATCAGTGACATAGTGGACACTGGGGATCAGTGACATAGTGGTGCCCCGCTTGAGCTGCCATTCTGGACTTCCTTTGTACATTTATTTCCACTGTTCAATTTAAATTTTGAGCTTAAAAATGTCTTTGAAGATGTTTGTTATATCATAATGTAGGGGAGGTATAACAATAATTTAACACGAGTTTAGTGAATAAAATTGCTATGTTTTGGGGGACAGTATCTTAAAAATCAGCATCCATAGATTAGGGGTAATATTTTAACTGAAGGACTAAAATACAATTATATCATAAGGCCAATATAGTAATGTGTGGAGATGAATGGAAGTAGCTGGTTTGAAAGTCTGAGCACTTTTCTGTGGAGGGATTTATCCTCAGGAAATTCGGAGATGCGAAAGCCACTGTCTGTGTGGATATACTCATGCCACCTAGAGAACCAGCCTGCCTTTTCAGGGGAAAGCTTGACAAACATTGCATTTCAAAAGGAGGGACCTATACCCTAAGATTCCATGAACTTTTAGACTATCCGATGGAATAGGAATTGCAATGGTCCCTTGAGGTGCCTGGTGATCATCACTTGTGTCTATTACAGGAAGGCCTTGAAATATAGACCCTGGTAGATGTTAGGGGTGTTTTTCTTTGTTCTGTTTTAAATTCCGTATGAACTACACTCTGAGCTCAGTCTCAGTTTTACACAATGCTGTATATATGACTCATAAATCTTAATTTACAGCTCAGGTGTGCATATTGTTTCAGTATAATAGCTTCCAAATCCCTTTATTTATATTCAGAAGTGTCTGCTAGGATCAATAAATATTTAGAGACTACCTAAAGCTTAAAATTCTATGCTGAGCTTCAGATCTGGTATTCAACCTCCACTGGAAATCCACAACCCACTGGGGTCAGTCTACAGTAACACGGTCCATGTGGTTCAGAGTAGACCTGATGCATGGAGTGGCCATTGCATCATCGTAGTGAAAGCAGACTGCTAGGTTTTACCTTCCCGTGCTACGAGGTGGGTTTCAATAAAAGTTGATTGCAACCCCTAGGTTTTCCAGTCATCTAAAACCCATTAAATCCAATGACCATTACTTACTGTCTTCGTTGAAAATGTTGCTTTCCCCACATCCTTTCCCTCAATTATTGCCATTATCATCCACCATTTGTACCTAGATCACAAATCTAGATGTTATATTAGATTTAGATTTCCCCCTCTCTCTAATTCTTGATATCAAAGGATCTCAGCTGTGACAACTACATCATCCAAATGCTTCTTCAATTTTTGGTCCTAAGCTTGACCATCTCATCTAAAATTGATCGTAGTTTCTCTCTTAAGGTTCTTGTCTTCTGTCTCCACATGATTCCTGGATTAATGCCCCCAGTTCATTTCACACTCCAATTTTAGCGTGGTAATCCTTTTATTAACATTTACCCAAAGTCCTTTAGTTTTCTTTTTACTCTCCGCTCGCTTCTATTACAAAGAGAGCGATAATCGTGAATCCAAGCAAGATGACACTCTTGACAAATTCAAACGTTTTGCCATTTATCATGGTTTTACTTGGCCTAGTAGTGAGCATTCGGGTTTTATTTACATAAAGTTGTCATCCATACTGAAGGCAGCAATCCTTGATTTTCATAAGCAAGTGCTTCAAGTCCTCATTCAGCAAACAAGGTTGTGTCATCCACATCCTCCAACCTTGCTGCCACATTCTTCTTCGTACCAACCAGTTTCTCTGATCATTTGCTGAGCATACCGGTTGAATAAATATGATGAGAGCATGCATCCTGATGCACACCATTTCTGAGTTTAAACCATGCAGTACTGTATTCACTTGTTCTGTTCACACAGTTGTCTCCTGCTCTTTGGTCTAGTTTTTCTGCATGAGCACAATGAAGTGTTTTGGAATGCCCATTCTTCTTGAAGTTTATACATTGTTCATTATGATTCACATAGTCGAATTCCTCTACATAGTCAATGAAGGAAAAGTAAACATCTTTCTACTATTCTCTGCTTTGAGCCAAGATCCATCTGACATAAGCAATGATATTCCTTGTTCCACATCCTTTCTGATCCAACCTAAAGCTCTGGCAGCTCCCTCTCAATGTACTGCTGCAACCGTTGTTGGATGATTTTCAGAAAAATATATATGCATATGATGTTAATGATAGTTTTTCTATAAATTGAGCATTCTACTGGGTTACCTTTCTTTGGAATGGGTACATAAGTGGTTAGCTTCCAGTCAGTTGACAAAATAGCTGTTTTCCAAATGTCTTGGCATAGACGGATTTATGCTTCTAGTCCTTCATCAGCTTGGTGCAATTCATATTCCATTAATTCCTGGAGTCTTCTTTCGTTTTGATCTGTTCTTTTTTTGCCTAATACCTTAATTGCAGTTTGGAATTCTTTCTCTTGAAATGGTTGACTGTCCACTAGTTCTTTTTGGTACACTGTGTATTATTTCCATTTTTTGATGCTTCCTGTATCATTCAATATATTGCTCTTAGCAATCCTTAGTATTTCGATATTTATATGTACCAATGTTTATTGATCCATTCCTTCAGCGGCAGACATTTTGGTTATTTTCATCAGTTTTTCATTGTCATAAACATGGGCGCACGTATATCTATTTGTGCTTTGCTCTGTATTTCTTTAAGGTACACACCTACGGGATTGCTGGGTCACGTGGTATTTCTATTTCCATTTGTTTGATAGAGCGTCACTCTTCTTTCCACATGGTTGCGCAATATCTACTCCTACCAGCAGGGTGTGAGGGCACCAATCTTCACATCCTTGCCACCATTTGTTATTGCTGGACTTTTAAATTACTTTTTTATTTTGCTTTCAGTACAAGAGTGAGATGGTATCTTGTTGTTTTGATTTACATCTCTCAAGTGGCTCGTGATCATGCACATTTCTTCATATGTTTGCTGCCTACCTAGATGACATCTTTGTTCAATTTTCTATTCATGTCTTCTGCCCATTTTTGAATCTGATTAATCCCCTCTTCCTTGTTGAGGTGTTGCAGTTTTCCATAAGTTTTTGAGGTTATCCCTTTGTCTCATGTATCATTGCCAAATTATTTTTTCCCAGCACTCAGAATTATTTTTTATTTTTCACTCAGAATTCATGTTTTGTTTTTTAATATAATCACACAAGTGAGCAAAGATTATATATTGTATGGTTCTTGTTATGTTGTCTACCGTTGAGTTCTACGTCATCCTATAGTACAGAGTAGAACTGCCCAGAGGGTTTGCTAGGTCGTCATCTTCATTGGAGCCAATTATGAAGTGGGTCCAAATAGCTAACTCCTGTGTTACCAGTCAAGATGCTTAAAAATTGCACCACCAAGGATCCTTTTAGTGTTTTATATACTAGATAATAAGCCCATAGGATCCCTGGTGGCATAGTGGTTACATTTGCCCTAGAACTGAAAGATCAGCTGTTTGAAACCACCAGCTGCTTGGTAGAAGAAAGGTGGGGTTTTCTGCTCCAGTCTTGGAAACTAACTCACAAGGAAGTTGTAGCCTCCTCCATCAGGTCTCTATGAGTCGGCAACTACTCGATGGCAGAGAGTTTGGTTTTGCTTCGTAATAAACCCGTTGCTCTCCAGTGGATTTCAACACATAGCCATCACATAGAGCAGACTGTAGGTAACCCATAGGGTTTTAAAGGCTATAACTCGTTAAGAAACCAGCCTGCCATGTCTTTCTCTGGGGAGGGCCGTATGGGTTCAAACCACTGGCCTTTAGGTTAACAGCCCAGTACTTAAATCATTGCACCACGATAGAGCCTTCCGTGCTTATTTTCAATTCATCCCCACTACCATCAAGTTGATTCCCAAACATAGCTACCCTAGGTAGGGTTCATTAGGCTTCTAATTTTTTTATGGGAGGAGATAGCAGCCAGAGCTGCTGGTAGGTTTGAACCGCTGACTTGGTTAGCAGCCAAATGCTTACCGACAGTGTCCCAGGGCTCCCTTGCCTAACAAACATTGCTCTCAGATGAAACAAGGCTGGAATGGAGCCTTCCCATCCCACTCACTCACTAAGCAAATGCCTATCATGTATAAATCCAATCCAATTTAAGATTCCAATGTTTAATCATTAACATCTTTCATTTATAAATATCTTATTTATTAACGACTCTAATGAGTGGTGGTGTTGAGTCAGGGCTGGGCAGTTCAAACCCACTGGGAAGATGAGGCTTCTGCTCCAGTAAAGCACCTTGGAACCCCTCTAGGGTACCTGTGAGGCAGGCTTGTTGACAATGGGTTTGGTTGCCACCTATAAGGCAGGGTAAGGCCCAGAGGGAGGTCCTAGTACAGGGTTATAAAATTAATGCTGGACCTAGGTATTCAAGAATTCACATTAAGAGGCCATGCACCAATTTTCCTGGAATTGTTACACACCAAATTTTTGGATTTTCTTGGAATTCTTGATTTTGCTGTTGAAATAAACTAAGATACCATTTAATACAAAGTTTGAAACCCAGAATGTGATTTCTTATCTTAAAAAAACAGCCACATTCACTTATGAGTAAATGGCACAGAGGCCACATCTGATCTCTTCCAGGTTCAGTGGAGGGAGAATCCATATCCACAGCAGCCCATGGCTAATTCTGATACCAACTTTCCTCCCAAGGTGCACTATTGCTCTGCTCATCTTGATCCTAAGTTACAATGACCACACAGAAGGCAAAGAAAGTACTCCCCTTGCAAGGGTTATTCAGGAAGTTAACAGGTTACCACAAATTAGGGTTTTACAACATTAAGAACACGTGGTTTTTGGTCCATAATTATACCTCTTCTCAGACAGCAGCCACAACTTTCTCCAGCCCATAACCTCTCGGCCAGTAGTCCCACACCCTTTGTGTATTCATCCATGAGCTAGGAATTCCACCTGCCATTCCACCTCCCTGTCTCATGGTCTCAGTGGCACATGTGTTCATCCAGGTAACTAGAGAAACAAATTTGAGACACTCATGTGTATAAGAAAGAGTTTTATATCCGAGAGTAATTGTATATTAAAAAAGCATCCCAGACAAGATCAAGTCCATAAGTCCAATATCAGCTCACAGGTCTGATACCAGTCTATACTTTGCTCTTCAGAGTCACGCAACACATGCAATGATGCCGAATGCAGGAAGATCACAGGTCAGTGGGTGGAAAGTTTTGTGGATGCAATGACAGTGGAAGCATCTCAATGCTGGCTGGGGTCTTCATGTGGCTCCTCTAGCTCTAGGACTCTAATGTAGCTCACTGTGTCTTGTCCTCAGAAAGACAAAGCAGAGAGAGAGAGAGAGTGTGTGTGTGTGTGTGTGTGTGTGTGTGTATCTGGCCTCCAGGGAGCTATTTATATCCATGGCACCTCTAAATGAGGTCATCAAGCTGCACCCTGTTTGACAGGCTAGACTCCACCCCTTTGCAAGTTGACACCAGATTATTGAACTACCACAGCACAGAACCTCCGTTTCAGTGTGGCTCCTGTGCTCTGTCTAATGGCCTTCAATGCAGCAGCCGCTGGGACCTCTGCGCTCAGACTCTGACACTCCAGATGGTGATCTTGAGCATACCTCAGGGTTAGCACTTCTTCCTTGTTGGGACAGAATTCCTTTTGTTCCTGCTTATGAGACAGTAGTCTTATGGATTGGGAAATAGAAACGACGTGGTCCAATCCCATCTATTAGTGTTTCACACACTCTATTTGTACAGTCCCATCCAATCGTTGTTTCAGAGACATATTAAGAGCCATATTAAGAGATTTCATTTCATCATAGGGTACTTAACCTTTTAAGACTTTTAGAAAGTTCTTCAGACACTATTTTCCTTGAAAGCTACAAGATTTTGCTTGATGATTTAAAAACAAAAATCTACTACATAGTGAAAAAGATGTGTGAAAGAGGGCTTCCAAATAATGTTTTGTCTCATAAGAGCATTTTTGGAATAAGAATAATAGATTTTATTATAAATACCTGAAAATAACTGGTACTTATTTAGATTATTATATCTAAATATATAAAATCGTTATTTTAATAGATTTCACAGTTAAAAATGCTTCAACCTATATTATTAATATGATTTTTAGCAAATATTAAATCATTTATTAGTTAATCTTGAATATTCATCAGAATTTCTTATAGTAAATCATTGCATAAAAAGAACACAACACACAAAAAAGCAAACAAACAAAAAACATGAGCATCCAAGTTAATTCCAGATATAAAAATTTATATTCACATTCATCATCAAATGATAAAATTATCCTGAGGAGAAAGTGATTAGAATTACGGAATTATATATACATATGTATATGTAAAAAGAATATGTGTATCTATAAATATACACATATACTTATATGTGTATATGTATATATATGTGTATACACATATACTTTTTTAAATTTAGAACTAAATATAATGAATAAAGTACAATTAATAAAGCTTGAGTTCGAAAGTCACATTGGCTTGGAGTAGCATCGAGGTTGTGTTGTTTACTAATGATATATGAGGCAACTTCAACTAGTTTGTAGAAGAATTTCATTATCTTTTAATTCAATAGTGCCATGATTATTTCGAAGTCTCCTCATATGCTTACACAAATCTACTAATATATTTAAGGTTTCTTTTCCTTTTTTAAAAAAATTGTTTAATTAGGGGCTCATACAACTCTTATCAAGGTTTATTTTCTTTATTTGTAAAGTGAAGATAATATGAACATGAACATTTTAGAGTTGTTATAAGAATTAAATGAAATAATGTATTTTGTCAGCCAGCTCATGTTACAAAATCTGCAAATATTAACTAATAGTAGCTGCCAATCAATATAAAAAGCCAATTTTATGTCGAATTAAAATGCAAATATCATGCTTACTCAATTTTCCTGAGAATCTCTGTTTGGCAGAATAAAATGGACTTTCTTTCTCCTCAAGCAGCAGTTCACAATTAGAACAAGAGGGAGACCTATCCATTGTAATACAAGACATTTCCTTCTGGGCATATTAGGTGAAAATGTCAGTCTGAAATTTCCTTTACTTAGCACAGTAGAGTGGGGCAGTTTGAATGAGATCTTCCTTGTAGACAGAGATAACCCGCAGAACTGATGGTCCTCATCCGTTTCACAGCGACATGCGGAGGCACGCTGAGCAGTCTGCGTGGAGTCATCCTGAGCCCCGGATTCCCAGGCGCTTACCCCAATAACTTAGACTGCACCTGGACGATCACGTTGCCCATTGGCTATGGTAAGTGAAAACATGTCTCATTCTTCAAAATGTATTTTAAAATGTCTATCTTGAAAATAATTAAGCTGAATAAAATATGTGGCCTACTCTGTTTTTATAACTATGTTTTTAATTGAGAGTGATTTAGAAATTTAAATAAAGCTCTAGCAGAATACATTATATGACACAGTTATTTGAAAAATCAATTCAGCCATGCAATTTTTTTCAGCGCAAATTAAATTAGCTGAGTGATAATATAGTAGGCACAAGAAGTGCAAAATGTAGCATCCCTAATTTAATTATCAATCCGTTTATTTTTAATATGGTCTTTTCTGAGTCTATCCATGTAATTCAAAACACATTATTGTTCCTCTTGAAAATGTGTAAGACTCACTTTTTCAGATTGTGACATAATTGTAATTTCATTTAGCACATACCTTTGAAGAAATAGTAATATTTAATTTTTGTAATTATATACTACATATATTATAGGTTTATGAAAAAGGATCTATGTCCTGAATTATCAAACTTTAGGTCCTCTGCCTTAAAATTTTTAATTGTTATACCAAAATAAACCCATCTGGAACTTTTCTCAGGGAAGTGTGTTTTTGGGGAAATCTGGATCCTCAGAAAATGGTCTCCATTGCACTGTTTTTCTTATACTTATAAGCAGCTCATCAATTCAGGTTTCCTCACCTGTGGTTTTCTAAAAATCACATATGGTCACGGATGTGATAAATTAGGACTAAGTGAACATCCTAGTAAAGGTCAATTGACTATATACTACACAAATGTTAGTTGAATGATGAATAAATATAAGCATGATTGTAAATTACTGTCCCAGAAGATGATTACACATTTTTAAATTAAGTTTTCTTTTTTTTAAATCAATTTATTGGGGCTCATACAATTCATCACAATACATAGATCAATTGTGTAAAGCACATCTATACATTTGTTGCCCTCATCATTCCCAAAATTCTCTTGCCTCTTGGGTTCCTGGAATCAGCTCATTTTCCATAAGAATCTGTACTAAGAAAGACAGTAATGGTAGAAAGGTGGCATGGGAAGGCTAGGGCCGGGCATGAGGAACAATCTGGCATAACGGTTCCCTCAGGGACTGGGCCAGGTGTGATAACATCGATGGAAATGCTATCAGTTAGCACGAGGAGTTACATCAAGAAGGGAGGGAGAACAGAGAAGAGGATCTTGAGTGGAGAAAAAGCTAGATGTGGCAGTTGATGTCTGGGGAGTTAATTAAGGAAACACCCAGAAGCTGTGTGGAGTAAGAAGGGAAACCTTTGAATTGATCGTACTTAATATATCATGTCCAAGGCTGAGGAAGCAACACAGAATAGGCTGAAAACTGAAGATTTGGTTGAACTAGACAGGAAGCACGAGGGGTTGCATCCCTGCTAGACTTTTTATGTCCCTCTTGGGACAGAGTACCCCTTGCATAGGCACCTAATCTCTTGCCTGAAGAGTGGCTCATATATGGTGGTTGACTATTATGCTTTGAATCTGTAACACTCTGTATCACAGTTGTGCCAATGTATTGATCTCCCACATCAGTCTTTTTCAAGGGCTTATTATGCTGATTCTAGGTTTCCTATTCCTGGGTTTTTACTCATAATGTTTTCAATTCTGGTTACTGATCAAGTTCTTCCAAATTTTAAACATTTGGTTCCCTTCTGGTTTTTCCTCAGCAGCCATCACTGAACCAATGTAACCAGTTCAAAGTTCTGAGATAATGGGAGAAATTTTTCAAGAAATAATTATAGGGGCTCTCTTTGCCTCCACCACTCCCAGCCTTGGCACTTTGGTTTTACTTAGTAAAGCACGAGCTCTCTGACCATAGACATAGTAATTTTAGCTCTATACCTGATAAAACTGAGGGTTCTGAATATTTTCAACCATCTTGGTATCTGATATTTTCAAATGCTGGATCCAGTTTTCTTACAATTGAGATCTGAGCAGGAGAGTGTTGTTGTTGCTGAACCCATTGTTGCAGACACCGTGCCAGCCAACTCTTTTGCACCAACTCCCTACTAGCATGATGTGCTTGTCCAGGACTGTTTTCTCATGAAAGCATGTCCAAACTACGTGAGATGCCTCAATATCTGTATTCAATATTAGCCATCTTGGCTTCTAAGAAACATTCTGATTGTACTTTTTCTAAGACAGACTTGTTTGTTCTTAGAAACTCAAATATATTTTATATTTTTATCAAAACCACGATTCAAAGACATCAAGTCTTTTTCAAAAGAGAACTGATAAGGACTTTGTTGGAAGGAGGTAAAAGTTGGTTCAGATAAGTGAGTAATGCAGATATTTGTAATAGAACTCCAAAGGTCATTATATTATTTAACAAATTACTATAGTAATTAAAAGCAGAGAGATTAGAGAATTCCAGGACAAATTCAGCTCCATTTGTGTGTGTGTGTGTGTGTGTGTGTGTGTGTGTAGAGATACAGAATCAAACTCATTGCAAACAAATCAATTCTATGGACCCTATAGAGGACTTCCAAAGCAGTCTATTTTTACAGAAGTCGATAACCTCATCTTTCTTCTTCAGAATAACTGATGTATTTGAACCTCCAACCTTGTAGGTATCAATTTCATGCTTACCCACAAGTGCCAGAAAGGCTTCTTTCATAAATGAAACAAAACCAGGAGCCTGCTTTCTCGTCTTAAAAACCGTAATAACTATATAGAGTGACGGTCAAGTTTAGCTGGAAGAATTCTTGTGAAAAGCTTAGTAGCAGAGTTAGCATGTGGTTAGAAAAAAATGTCACCCATTTAAATTTTTTTATTGCAAAGAACTGACATTTTTCTTTCAAAAGTTATCACTGCTGTTGTTAGGTGCCATCAAGTTGGTTCTGATTCATAGAAACACTAAATACTGTACTTCTTCCAAGACAAGATCTGTTTGTTCTTTTGGCAGTCGGTTGTACTTTCAATATTCTTCACCAGCACCATGGGTCAAATGCCTGTTTTTCTTCAGTCTTTCTTTGCCTATACCGACACCAATGGTTCCTATCATACCACTCTACATCTGTGCGAGTTCAATAATTGGTTGTAATGGCCACACAGAATTCACAGATAATACTCAAAATTAAGGTGGTTCAATAGGGAAGTCAATAGGTTACCACAAGTCAGGATCAGCTAACAGTAAGGACATAGTCATTGGTCTCCTCAGCTAGCAGGCAACTCTCTCTCTCTCTGCTTCTCAGCCTCTCAGTCACACAGTAGTTGGATTTCAATCTAATCTTCAATTTCACAGTCTTAGTCCCTGGCCTTTGTTTTCCATGGGCCAGGAAGGTCGACCACCTATAACTCTGCTCCACAGTTTTGTTTTGAGAGCCCAGAAAATAAGAAGGTATCCCTTAGGCTGGGTGTTGGTCCTCTGAGTCTTTGCCAAAATCTACGAATATCTGGTATGAGAGCCTCCACAACTACAGACCACAACATGCTCTTCCAAGGTCCTTGGGGGGAGTTCTCAGGAGATAAATGGCAGAAGATTCTACCACTACCTCAAAAAATGGCTCATCCTTTTAGCCAGGGGGTCTGTGGTTGTTGTTGTTGTTGGTGGTGTGTGTGTGTGTGTGTGTCGTGGGGGTGTAGACACAATATAGGCATAATAAGGAAAATAGAACAATTCCCTTTATTAGTGTAACACACTTCCTATTTGCACAGTCCCATTCAAACTTTTGGTGGGAGTTACAGACTTAGATAGAAGAGGCATATTAAGAAATTTCTCTCTACCACAGGGAGAATCTGTGGTTCTTAAATTTCCTTGTATACAGAGTTACCATTAGAAGTAGAGTTTAAAATGGAGAGTATTGTGACCTGTCCCTGGATGCTCTGATTGAATTTGTCTACCTGAGGCAAGAGATTCTGCACTTTTACCAAGCTCCTTCCTGTATTCTGGCTTCTGGCCTGGGGTTATAGGGATGATACTTTGGGCTGCTAACCACTAGGTTGGCAGTTAGAAACCATCAGCTGCTCCAAGAGAGAACTATGAGGCTTTATTTAAAGGGTCGCAGTCTGGAAAGAGTTGCAGTCTCTGAAACACAAGGGGCAGTTCTACCCTTCCCTGCAGGGTGGCCGGGAGTCAGAATCCACTCAGAATCCACAGTGAGAGTATGAGAATGTCATAGAGTACTTGTTTAGGGAAGAGTACTTTTAACCTAAAGAAGGCAGATAATTAACAGATATGCATATGATTCTTTTTTTTTTTAATCAATTTATTGGGGCTCATACAATTCATCACAATACATAGATCAATTGTATAAAACACATCTATACATTTGTTGCCCTCATTATTCCCAAAATTCGCTTGCCTCTTGGGTTCCCAGAATCAGCTCATTTTCCTTTTCACCCCCCTCCCCTTCCCTTCCTCCTCCCCTCTCCCCCATGCACCCTTAATAATTTATAAATTATTATTGTATCTTATATTACACTGTCCGGCGTCTCCCTTCACCCACCCTTCTGCTGCCCGTCCCCTAGAGAGGAGGTTATATGTAGCTCCCTGTGATCCATTCCCCCTTTCTTCACCCCCTACTTTGTTAAGTAGATATTACTTTTTCTGGAAGAATGTGGAAATCTCAAGATTTTTGACTGCAAATAGGACAATATATTAGCTAGTATGAAATAAACACTTTAAAGTGAATTTAAAAAAGCACAGCTCATCTCTTATTCTTCCCCAGAATGTTCTTAAAAATAAATTTCATTGAAATATTTTAAAATTTCCCTCATTTAAGCTGCTAAGTTTAGTATCTGAACACACATCCCTCTTTCATTTATCATCATCTTGGGGCTTTAACTGCTCTTGGAACTAGGGATTACAGATATTAAGAAGCATCAATGACACTAGTTCTTCTAGCAACTCTGAATAATAGCAGATAAGTGATATTACTACCTTTTCTCCAGAAAAAATAATCTCTTTTATCAAAAAATATTTTACCCAAGTGTTTAAAATTTTCCTTATCATTGAACATATATTGTACTCCCCAATAGGT